TGCATGGATCCAAAGATCCTCAACAAAATCCTAGCAAACCAACTCCAACAGTACATCATAAAGATAATATACCACCAGCAAGTGGAATTTATCCCAGGGATGCAAGGATCTTACATTTGCACAAATCAATAAATGTGATACCTCACATCAACAGAAAGACAGAAAACATATGATCATCTCAATAGATGCAGAAAAAGCATTTAATAAAATTCAATATCCCTTCATGATAAAAACTATCAACAAATTAGTCATAGAAGGCGTATACCTCAATATAATAAAGCCCATATATAAAAACCTAGAGCTCACATCACACCAAATGAGGAAGAGCTAAAAGTCTTTCCTCTAAGAATTAGAAAGGGAAAAGGATGCCCACTTTCACCACTCCTATCCAATAAAATGCTGGAAGTCCTATCCAGGGCAATCAAGCAAGAGAAAAACATAAAAGGTATTCAAATTGGAAAAGAGGAAGTAATATTATTCCTCTTTGCAGATGACATGCTCTTATAACTGTAAAAACTTGGACAATTCATCAAAAAATGCTTAGATCTGATAAATAAATTCAGCAAATTTGTAGGATACGAAGTCAACATACAAAAATTAGTAGTATTTCTACACATCAATAGTGAACTAGCTGAGAAAGAAATCAAGAAGGCAATCCCATTTACAATAGCTATAAAAAATTAAATACGTAGGAATAAATGTAACCAAAAAGGTGAAAGACCTGTACGAGGAAAACTATAAACGTCTGATGAAATAAACTGAAGAGGTCACACAAACAAATCGAAAAACATCCCATGCTCATGGGTTGGAAGAATTAATATCATTCAAATGACCACCATACTACCCAAAGCAATCTACAGAGTCCATGCAATCAATCACTATCAAAACACCAAAGTCACTTTTCACAGAAATAGAAAAAAACAATCCTAAAATTCACATGGAACCAAAAAAGAGCTCAAAAAACCAAAGCAATCCTGAGTCAAAGATTACATCACATTATCTGAAAACAGACACATAAACCAAAGGAACAAAGTCTAAACCCCAGAAATAAATCCACTTATTTATAACTAACTGATTTTTCACAAAGGCACCTTGGTCAGAGAACATGTATTGAAGAAAGAACACCCTCTTCAATCCTCTTCAATAAGTAGTGCTGGGAATATTGGACATCCATATGCAAAATGAAACTGGACTCTTATCTCTCACCATAAATAAAAATCAACTCAAGATGGATTAAAGACTTAAGCATGAGACCTGAAACAATAAAACTACTAGAAGAAAACATATGAGAAGCATTTCAAGACATCGATCTAGACAAAGATTTTACAGCTAAGATCTCAAAAGCAAAGATAACAAACATAAACATAGACAAATAGTACTATATTAAACTAAAAAGCTTCTTCACAGCAAAGGAAGCATTCAACAGAATGTAGAGACAACTGGTTGAAAGAGAGAAAATATTTGCAGACTATCCATTTGACAAGGTACTAACATCTGGAATACACAAGAAACTCAACTGAACAGTAAAAAAGCAAATAACCCGGGGCCAGGCGCGGTGGCTCAAGCCTGTAATCCCAGCACTTTGGGAGGCCGAAACGGGTGGATCACGAGGTCAGGAGATCGAGACCATCCTGGCGAACACGGTGAAACCATGAAACCCCGTCTCTACTAAAAAAAATACAAAAAACTAGCCGGGCGAGGTGGCGGGTGCCTGTAGTCCCAGCTACTCTGGAGGCTGAGGCAGGAGAATGACGTAAACCTGGGAGGCGGAGCTTGCAGTGAGCTGAGATCGGCCACTGCACTCCAGCCTGGGCCACAGAGCAAGACTCCATCTCAAAAAAAAAAAAAAAGCAAATAATCCCATTTAAAAGTGGGCAAAGGATATGAATAGACATTTCTCTAAAGAAGACATACAAATGGCCAACAGGTATATGCACAAATGGTCAACATCACTAATCATCAGGGAAATGTAAATCAAAACCACAAATACTATCTTACTCCAGTTAGAATGACTATTACTGAAAAGACAAAAAATAATAGATGCTGGGGAGGATGCAGAGAAGAGGAAACATTTATACACTGTTAATGGGAATGTGAGTGAGTACAGCCACAATGGAAATACAATATTTCTCAAGAAATTAATAGTAGAACCATTACCATACAATCCAATAATCCCACTAATAGGTATTTATCCATAGAAAAAGAAATCAATATAACAAAAAGATACCTGCACCCCCATGTTTACTGCAGCACTATTCACAATAGCAAAGATATAGAATCAACCTAAGTGTCCATCAACAGATGAATGGATAAAAAAGAATAAAATCATGTCTTAGCAACATGGATGGAACTGGAGGTCATTATGTTAAGTGAAAGTCAGACATAGAAAGACAAATTTTGCATCTTGCCACTCACACATCGGAGGTAAAAATGTTGATCTCATGGAGGTAGAAAGTGAAATAATAGAGACCAGAGGATAGGAGGGGTATGAGTGGCAGAGAGGAATGAAGAAAGGCTGATGAATGGGTACAAGCATGCATTTAAATAGAAGGAATAAGTTCTCATGTTTGACAGCGTAATAGTGTGACTATGCTTAACAACATGTATTGTATATTTCAAAATAGCTAGAAGAGAGGACTTGAAATGTTCCCAACACACAGAAATGATAAATACTAGAGGTGATAGATACCTGAAATACCCTGACTTGATCATTACACATTCTATGCATGTAACAGAATATCACACATACCCCATAAATATGTACAAATATTATGTATCAATTTAAAAATATATTTAACCTTCCCAAATGTAGTTGAGAGGAGGAACTGTTTACACTGAATCTAAATTGAATTTTAAGCATCATTTAAATTAATTTCATTTATATAACATTCACCCAGTCACCAGTGACTAATAAAGTGAACTCTAATAACTCAGGAAGAAATGTTTAGTTTAATATTCAAAATTGTAAATTAAACTAGAGCAGTATTATTCAAAATTTTTTCAGGCATCAGGGTACCTAGAGCTTATAATGCATTTTGCAGACCACCTAAAATACTGATTAAGCTTCAAAACAAATAAATAACTTTTTGTTAAATCAGACCACTTTTTTTTTTGAAACAGCATCTCACTCCATCACCCAGGCTAGAGTGCAGTGGTACAATCACAGCTCACAGCAGCTCTACCTCCTGAGCTCAAGCAATCCTCCCACCTCAGCCTCTTGAGTAGCTGGGACTACAGGTGAATGCCACCAGGCCTGGCTAATTTTTGTATTTTTTTGTCAGAGAGAGGATTTTGCCATGTTGCCCAGGCTAGTCTCTAACTCTTAGGCTCAGGGTTATTTTAGCCTCCCAAAGTGCTGGAATTACAGGCATGAGCCACTGCGCTCGGCTTAGACCACTTCTTATACCAGATTCTGTTACTTATACCTGAGAAAACGTATGGGTGGTAACATGGGATGAAGGGAAATTAAACCACTATTTGATTTTAGTAGTGAAAATCTTTAGTTGGATTACACCTCAGAAGAATAGTTTGGGAAGCACTAAACTAGAGAATTATAAGCACAGCCACATTTACATGTACAACTTAAATTAGATCTTTTAATGCATTTTTAAAGTTTAAAAATACCAACAGCACCAAATAACCTCCTCAAATCGAAGCATCTGTCATTTGCTTTCATCTTCTGCCTTCAGATAATACAGATTTCTCTAATTGAATAGCAAGCTAAGGTCACCAGGGCTCTCAAGATAACAGAACTCTTGTACTGACACATCACATTCTTTCTTACTGATTTCATCTAGTTAGGCTTCCATGTGATTACACTGAGCATTGCATGCTCTCATTTAAGATCTCACTTGCCTCCATCTTCACCCTTCATTTCCCTAACTTCTCAAATCCTCACTGATCTTTGATTTTCTGGCTCTTATCTTGGAAGGTTATTTGTTTTGTTTGGCAATTGTTTGTATCTCCCCTTCCCACACATGAAGGATCAGTGTACCTACTCTATTTCTTTTCTACATCAAATAAACACAGTGCTGAGCAAAGAAAGCAACAAATATTTAACCAGCTTTTAACTTATCCACTGACATCTGTGAGATTTCTGAGGTTCTGTTTCAATGCTCCTTGATATTGAATAGTTGCTTCAACTAAAAAAGTACTATTTTTCACCTTAGAAATATTTCTCTTGGCCAGGCGCGGTGGCTCACATCTGTAATCCCAGCACTTTGGGAGGCTGAGGCAGGCAGATCACCTGAGGTCAGGAGTTCGAGACCAGCCTGGCCAACACAGAAAAAACCTGTCTCTACTAAAAATACAAAATTAGCTGGGCATGGTGGCACATGCCTGTAATCACAGCTACTCAGGAGGCTGAGGCAGGAGAATCGCTTGAACCCGGGAGGTGGAGGTTGCAGTGAGCCAAGATCATGCCATTGCACTCCAGCCTGGGCAACAAGAGTGAAACTCTGTCTCAAAAAATAAAAATAAAAAAGAAAAGAAATCTTTCTTTTGCCCTATTTACCTTCCAGTTTATTTTTAACTCTTCACAAGGCTGCTGTGTCAGGGCCCTTGTGTCAGGGCCCTCAGAGTAGTGCTCCCGGTTATGAAGAAAATGTACAGAGACAGCAAGTCAGTCTAACAGTGTGAGCAAAGCAAGAATTCGACACTAAAAGTGACTACAGAGGCTGCAAAAAGGAGCACCAGCCAGCAGGCCCAGTCCTTTCAAGAAAGAATACTTATCTCAGGAAAACGTGGAGCTGCTCTTCCATTTTATTTTTTCCTTTTTCTGTAAAATATGCTAAAAGATATATACCTACATACCTGCTTTATATTGTCAATTTTCATGTAAAATCAGTTTGTACCTATTTTTTACTTTTATAAATTGATTGTACTACAAAGATTTTAAAAATTCTAAATCTCTGAGAAACATACCTCTGTATTTCAATTATAAACCCAATTTTTATAACAAGAAGACTCAAAAAGAAAAAAAATCACTTCTTTCAGCTTACCATATATTGGGGAAAATGTGAAGTCGTTCAGGTGACAATTATTATAGGCTTCAATTCTAACATCTTTCCAGATTCCCTGGGTAGGAAAGGAAGGTCCCCAGTCCCAACTAAAGGAACATTGCTCCTACAATTTCAAGGGGAAAAAGAAGATAAATTCTGATTACCATGAAATTTAAACATTATGAAAAACATTTTCTTTAAAAATGTTATATATGTGTATACAAGTTTGCTATGGCAGCCATAACAAAGTATCACAAACTAAGTGGTTTAAACAATGGAAATTTATTTTCTCACAGTGAAATCCAAGATCAAGTTATCAGCAGGTTTGGTTCCTCCTGAGGCCTCTCTCCTCTGTTTGCACTGTATCCTCTTTTTCTGTGCTAAGCATCCCTGGTGTCTCTCTCCATTGTCCAAATGTCCGCTTCATACAAGGACACTAGTTGTATTGGAATAGGGCCCACCCTAACTGCCTCATTTTATCTTAATCACCCCTTAAAGACCTTCTCCAAATATGATTACATTCTGAGATACCAGAGGTTAGAACTTCAACATATGAATTTGGGGGGACCACAAGTTAGTGCAAAACTGTGTGTGTGTCCCTCAGCCACCATACACAGCCTCTGAAGTGGCCCACAATGATCCCCACTTTGAAGTGACCTAGTGAATCACTTCTAACCAACAGCATATAGCAGAAATGATGTGATTTTCTTAATTAGGTTATAAGAGACTAAGCCTTGAATTTTGGGTACTCTCTTATGCCCTCTCTTGGCCAAGAAGGAAGCCGGCCTCTGTGTCATGGGGCAGCTCTGCGGAGAGACCCACATGAGCAATCTGAGGTCTGCCAATAACCACAAGTGAGCTCAGAAACAGACTCTTCAGCCTTGAGTCAACTTGAGCCAAGCCTTGAGACAACTGCAGCTGTGGCTGACAGCTTGACTATAACCTCATGAGAGACCTGAAGCCAGAGGCACCCACCTAAGCCACACTCAATTCAGATTCCTAACTAACAGAAGCTACCATAATAAATGTTTTCCTTACTATTATTTTTTAGAAATCAGAAAACCTATAGTCCACATATTTTCTTTTTTTAACTTTTAACTTCAGGGGTACAAGTACAGGTTTGTTATACAGGTAAACTTGTGTCATGGGGGTTTGTCATAGAGATTATTTCATCATCCAGCTATTAAGCCTAGTATCCAACAGTTATTTTTCCTGATCTTCTCTCTCCTCCCACTCTCCAGTTTCTGGTAGGCCCCAGTGTGTGTTGTTCTCCTCTATGTGTCCACGTGTTCTCATCAATAAATGTTGTTTTAAGCTGATACATTTTGGCATAATTTGTTACATCACAATAGATAATACAATATCCAGTATATCCAATATATCTATGTTGCATATAACATATAAAACAGATAAATTTGGCAGAAATATTCTAAGAACATAAAATCTATGAAGAGTTGTACATTTATTCTTCAAATGCATACTACATTGAAGCAACTCAATAGTTCCTCTTTAAACTTCTCTATAATATCTCTGAACCTAACTACTGTATTTAAATCTAATGGCTACAAAGAATATTGCGCTTACATGTAATAATTAAAAAGAATGAGGAGACCGGGCACAGTGGCTCACACCTATAATCTCAACACTTTGGGAGGCCAAGGTGGGCGGATCATCTGAGGTTGGGAGATCGAGACCAGCCTGACCAACATGCAGAAACCCTGTCTCTACTAAAAATACAAAATTAATCGGGTGTGGTGGTGCATGCCTGTAATCCCAACTACTCAGGAGGCTCAGGCAGGAGAATCGCTTGAATCCGGGAGGCGGAGGTTATGGTGAGTTGAGATCGTGCCACTGCACTCCAGTCTGGGCAACAAGAGCAAAACTCAGTCTCAAAATTAAAAAAAAAAGAATGAAGAAACATATTGAAAGACAAACACTTTATAAATAGGTTTTAAAAAGCTCTGGCTAAACTTGCCAACCTCAGGTATGAATTCAGAAGTCCTTGTTTCTGTACATGATGCCCAAAAACAATCAGTTCGATCTTTAGCCCCTGACACAGGTGGCCAAGGCAGATATTTTATCCAGTCTTATTTGACCTTGGTACGTGTCTCTCCCTTAATGATACTCAACTTCCATATTAAGTTATAGAGTTCAAATTCAAAAATAAGAAATAATTCTGTAAAATAAATCCCTTTCACACAGAATGTTTTCTAATTTCTACTTCTTAAAAGAAAAAAATATTTTCAGAACAGTTAATTAAAATGTGTAAAGCTACGAGTTCAGCTTTTAAAAAGGAACAAGTTTGGGTCATACATTTTATGGGGTGAAAAAAAGGTAACAAGAACCAGAGGAAATACTAAAATCCTTCTAGATGGAGTCATTTGTAGAACAGAACCTGAAGATTTGGCCAAACTTTGTCATTTAGGTATTATTTCCTTAGCTCTGTACTTACCTAAGATAGAGATAAATTTGTTTTTACTATAGAGAAAAACAAAGAACTAAAATTATAGCATCCACATCTGTCTAAATTTACCACTTAAGCACCAGATTCTCATATTCAGAATGAAAACCATCTTGGGGACATTTATGGGAGAATTTTAGTATCTATTTGTAATTTTTTCATTGGAGATACGGAAAAGAAGGACAGCAAAATAATCAACATCTTATGAGGGAGACTATTTTCCCCATTACGGGTGACAAATCACTCTTGACCTCTTCAAGAAGTATTTATGAAGTGCTTTCTATGTTTCAGGCTGGGAGTACTTCAGTATACACAACAGACACAGTTCTTCTGCTTATAGCGCTCACAGTCAAGCATGAAATTCAGGCACTGAATAAATAATTACAAGCATAATGAGTTTTACAATGGAAATAGGCAGGGGACATATAGTCAGAGGTTGAGGAGGATAGGTATCAAGATGAGTTCTCCTGAAAAAAATGGCCCTGAGGGGTGAGTACCATTTATCCACTGTAAGCAGGCAAAAGGCAAGTAGAAGCTTTTTTTTTTTTTGAGATGAGTCTCACTGTCACCCAGGCTGAAGTGCAGTGGCGCAATCTTGGCTCACTGCAGCCTCAACCTCCAGGCTCCTCCCCCCTCAGCCTCCTGAGTAGCTGGGACTACAGGCTAATTTTTGTATTTTTCTTAGAGCTGGGGTTTTGTCATGTTGTCCACACTGATCTTAAGCTCCTGAACTCAAGTAATCTACTTGCCTTGGCCTCCCAAAGTGCTGGGATTACAGTCATGAGTCACTGCCCTGGCCCAGAAGCATTCCTTTCAGAAGGAACAGCATGTGCAAAGGTCAGGAGGTGCAGGACAGTATGATGCATTTCAGGAGCTGAAGAGGCAGGGAGAATGGGAAGAGGCAGGGAGAAGACTGGAGAAGTGAGCATGGGCCAGACAGAGCTAAGAGAGCTAAGACCCATCGACATTGGCCTAAAGGCAATGAGAAGCTGTTGAAGAGTTTGAAGAAGAGCAGTGTTGTGATCATTTTTTTCTGAAAAGATCATTCTATCTGCTCTGTGAATTATTAACTAGAGGAAGGCAAGTGAAGCTTCAGGGATGCCAGTTAGGCAATCAGGGCAATATTTCATGCAAGGTATGACTGAACTCAAGAGATAGTAGCAGAAATGAAATGTGAACAGACTGAAGAGCTATTGAAGAGGTACTATTTGCATCATCAAGAGGACTAAGCAATTGATTGAAGAAAGAAAAAGGAGAGAAAGGTGTCAGGAAAAACTCGAGTTTTTGGCTTGAGTACCTGTTGTGAATAGTGTTCCATTCAGCAAGAGACAGAACCCTGGGATAAGGATTTAGATCACAAGTGCAGTGTGGAGCATACTGAGCTTTAGGTCCCTGTGAATCAGACAAGGGATGATGCTAAATAAGCATCTGAATGTAAGATCTGGAATTGAAGAAAAGTTGGGCTGAAGACACAATATTGGAAGACAATGGCAAATAGATTTATTATGGAAGAAATGAAAAATGAGATAGCCTAGAGAGGGTATAAAATGAGAAAAGAGTCTAGAACAGAGAAAGACCCTATAATATAACTTTTAGGAGAACAAGGATGTGGATAAAGAGACTTACAAGGAAAGGCCAGAGATGTAAATGGAAAACAAGAAAGATGGCATCAAACCTTGGTAAGAGGGTAGCTGAAGTGATGAATCCCATTATCCATGCTGGACAGAAAAGAAAGCAGAGACAAGAGGGGACTTAGGTTGCTACAAGGAAAGCAGAGGGTCAAAGAACTGGTGAAAGAGAGTATCGGGGGAACCAGCCTCCAATATTTCAACATAGGTTCTTTTCTATTTTCCCTAAGTGTCAGCCAGTCTGAGAAATAAAAAGAAAGAGTACAAAGAGAGAAATTTTACAGTTGGGCCTCTGGGGAAGATATCACATACTGGTAGGACCATGATGATGACCCTGAGCCACAAAACCAGCAAGTTTTTATTTGGGATTTTAAAAGGGGAGGGGGTGTACAAACAGGGAGTAAATCACAAAGATCACATGCTTCAAAGGGCAATAAAGATCACAAGGCAAGGCAAAATTAGAATTACTGATGAGGGTCTATGTCCCACTGTGCACGCATTGTCTTGATAAACATCTTAACAGGAAATGGGGTTCGAGAGCAGAGAACCAGTTTGACTGGAATTTACCAGGCTGGAATTTCCCAATCCTAGTAAGCCTGAGGGTACTGCAGGAGACCAGGGCATATTTCAGTCCTGATCTCAACTGCATAAGACAGACACTCCAGAGCAACCATCTATAGACTTACCCCCAGGAATGCATTCCTTCCCAGGGTTACTCCTTGCTGGGAAAAGAATTCAGCAATATTGCTCCTACTCACACATCCATTTATAGGCTTTCTGCAAGAAGAAAAATATGGCTCTGTTCTGCCCGACCCCTCAGGCAGTCAGACCTTATGGTTATCTTCCCTTGTTCCCTGAAAATTGCTGTTATTCTGTTCTTTTTTAGGGTGCACTGATTTCATATTGTTCAAACACACGTTTTACAATCAGATTTCATATTGTTCAAACACACATGTTCTACAATCAATTTCTACAATAGTGGTCCTGAGGTGACGTATATTCTCAGCTTATGAAGATAACAGGATTAAGAGATTAAAGCAAAAACCCACTAACTTCATAATAAGCTAAGCTGAGCATCTTGTTCATTACCTGTAATTATGGTAATAAGCCTCCAAAATAGATATCACCACTCTAATTTTTGAATGGTTGTATAGCACTTTACAACATGCAAAGTGCACTTACATTGTTATTTCACTATATCCTCATATCAGGGATTAGCTCCATGTACAAATGATGAGCATGCCTAAAGTTATTCTACGTTCACAAAGCCAGAATTCAAACCCAAGACTCTTGACTTGGTTTCCAACTCAGGTATCTTCCCACTGGACCATGTCAATCTAGTCAGAAATACCTAGATGCAACTTGCAATTGTTCTGGAAGTCTACCCTAAGATTAGTTTCCAAAACATTGTGATAGCAGAAAACTGGGTATGATTCCTGATGTCAGTGACAAAGGGCTTTGTTCTATCTAGATAACTTGAGAGTATGTTTTAAATACCACAAATTGAATAGAAGGTGGAGGGAAAATAGCATATGAATATATGTATAACATTTATTTTATCTTTATTAATGACTTGAAAAGTAACTTTTCACATTAGGATCCAGGTTAGTTTCAGTTTTGATAAAGGTTAAAAATGGAAGGGGAAGCCAGCACGGTAGCTCACACCTGTAATCCCAGCACTTTGAGAGGCCAAGGTGGGTGGATCACCTGAGGTCAGGAGTTCGTGACCAGCCTGGCCAACATGGTGAAACCCCATTTCTACTAAAAAATACAAAAATTAGCCAGGCATGGTGGCAGGTGCCTGTAATCCCAGCTACTCAGGAGGCTGAGGCAGGAGAATCATTTGAACCTGGGAAGCAGAGGTTGCAGTGAGCTGAGGTCACGCCACTGCACTCCAGCCTGGGTGACAGAGCAAGACTCCATCTTAAAAAAAAAAAAGAAAAGAAAAGAAAGGAAGGAAGCGGAGAGGTAAAAAGTACAACCTCTAGCATTTAAACCACTGTGTCATTGGAAGCCAAAGGCAAAAGAATCAAAAGATAAATCTTATCCAGAATTATAAGTATACAAATATTCCATGGAATACTTGACTACTTGTCAAAGCAATACTCTAAGGCTGTTATTACAGTAGTTTGAACAAATGGTTAATGGGTCATTGACATAAGTTTGGGTAGGTTGAATCAAACAGGAGGAGGTATAATTTTAACCCTAGTACTTATATTAAGAAAACATAATTTAATAGTAAATCCATCCAGCTGAAAGAGAGCCACTTAATTTAATCAGAACATATTAGCTAATGTAACAGTTCTGCCTAAAGAGTATTGGGAAAATATGTTTAGTGTCTTCACAATGAGCCCAATCACTACATTTGTTGTTAAAACTAAATTTCATGGCTCACGTCTGTAATCCCAACACTATGGGAGGCCAAGGCAGGTGGACCACCTGAGGTCAGAAGTTCAAGAGCAGCCTGGCCAACATGGCGAAACTCCATCTCTACTAAAAATAAAAAAATTAGCCAAGTGTGGTGGTGCATGCCTGGAATCCCAGCTACTCGGGAGACCAAGGCAAAAGAATTGTTTTAACACGGGAGGCGGAGGTTGCAGTGAGCCGAGGTCTCGCCAGTACATTCCAGCTTGGGCATCAGAGCAAGACTCCATCTCAAATAAATAAATAAATAATAAATAAATAAATTCAATCCTTCAAAAAATTAAAAATAGAGTTACCGTATGATCTAACCATACCATTTCTGGGAATATATCCAAAAGAATCAAAAGAAGGGTCATGTAGAGATATTTGTACACCCATGTTCATAGCAGCATTATTCACGACAGCCAAAAGGAGGAAGCAACCTACATGTCCATCAGCGGATGAATGGATAAACAAAACGTGGTCTATGCATAGAATGGTATGTGATTCAGCCTTAAAAAGTAAAGAAATTCTGACACATGCTACAACATGGATGCATCATGAGGAAATTACGCTAAGTGAAATAAATCAGTCACAAAAAAGACAAATACTGTATGATTCCACTTACATAAGATTTCTAGAGGAATCAAACACACAGAAAAGAAGGTGGCTCACACCTGTAATCCCGGCACTTTGGAGGCCAAAGTGGACAGATTGCTGAGCCATTAGAGTTAAAGACCAGCATGGTCAACTGGCAAAACTGTCTCTACAAAAAAAATACAAAAATTATCTGGGCACGGTGGCGTTCGCCTGTAGTCCCAGCTACTCAAGAGACCCTAGGTGGAAGGATCGCTTGAGCCCGGGAGGTGGGGCTGCCAAGTGAGTTGTGATCGCACCACTGTACTCCAGGCCTGGCGACGAGTTCGGACCCAGTTCAAAAAAAAAAAGAAAAAAGAGAAAGAAAAGAGTAGAAGGTGGTGTGACAGGGGCTGGGAAGAGAAATGGAGAGCTACTGTTTAAACCAATAATGGGTATAATATTAATAATAATGGGTATGGTATAGGAGTTTCCAGATTTTGCAAGATGAGAAAGTTCTATGGTTACTCCAACAATGTAAATATACTTAACACTACTAAACTGTACCACTTAAGAATATTTTAAATGAAGTATTTAGTGTATAGTTTACAATTAAATTTTTTAATATGAAAAAAATGAATATAAACGAGTTAAAAACCAAGTGTCCACAAGAAATACTAATTTTAATCATGGTAGTAAAATAGATCCAAATTCCTCTAGACAATGGATCAGCTCAAAGAAAATATTACTTTGTGGACTTTTGTTATCTTTTGTTAGATTTATGAGAACCCGACAGTAAAGATGGCAAGAACATCCTCAATATACTAATATTTGCAGAAGGCTTC